CAGAGGCATCTCTATGGGAGGTAAAGTAGGGGAGGTCGTGCTTTGATCCCCGCTGTGTTGGCTGGAAGTGGAATTCCAGCAGCAGCTGGGAGCAGATCACACCTGGCACCCATCCCATAGTGGATGGGCAGTGCAGGGGCCAGCTGGAGGGTCCAGCACCCCTACACCTGCACCAGCACCCTGGAGAGAAGGCAACACTGGTGTCAAGCACCCTGACAGGATCTGTGGCTACTGGCTGGAGTTGGACCCTGCTACCTTGGTTTAACTTGATTTCCATTGTTTAATTATTCTAACCAAGATAACCCAAACTCCCAGTGTGATTTACTGACTCTTTTTAAGCATCTGGGTCACAGAGCTGCTCAGTTAATTAATGTGCTGAATATCCTTATTTGTCTGCTAGATAATGGATTGATTCATAATTTAAATAAGCAGCTGTGTCTATCTTTCCCCTGAACTATAAAAGGCAGGCTGCTGTCATTCATCTCTTTGCACTCCTGAATTGAAATCTGTTGAGGGAAATATTTTGGTGGGATTCCTTCAACCCTGCAAATGGAGGAGCCCTTTGTGTGTGGCCCAGGCACCACGTCGGGGCTGTCCCGGTGCCTGCTGCCTGCTTCCATCAGCACTGCCCCACACTCCCAGCCTGCCTCTCCTGGCACCTGAATGGGTCCCTGGGAGCACTGGGTGGTGGGATGTGGGAGGTATCAGGGGGTGAGCTGCAATCCTGAGCCTTTATTTCAATGCTGAACCATGGGGGAGATTTTGGCTTGCATCCCTGGGGAACGGGGCCAGTTCTCTATTGGTCCCCTCTGGCTGCTGGTGGAGCTGCTGGAGGGCTGGGCCAGGCACACCAGCAGCATCCAACACAGGCCAAAGCAAGGCTGGCTCACCAAACGTGCAGATGCCAGCAGGGCCAGCCAAGCCAGCTGGCTCTGCCTGAAACCCAGGGGAGCCCATCCACTGCCCCAACCTGCCGAGCGTTCAGGCACACGGGAGGCTGGAGGGCTCTGCCCCATGCTGGGTTGAAGGCTCAGAGTTCTTCTTATCCCTTTCCTGTGCCCCAGCTCTTCATCTGCATCTGAAAAAATAAAACCAAACAACCAACCAAGAACAAGAAAAAAAGCTGGAGAAAGTTTTTTTCCTCTTATCGGATCTACTTTCTCTGTGCACCAGCCTCCCAGTTTCTTTCCTGGGGCTCTGCAAACTGGTCCTTTCCTCTCTCAGTTTTGAATGATGCTCCAAAGATACCAATGGTCTCCTCCCTCTCCTCCCAGCTGGCACGTTACACCAAGGAGGGCTTCCTCCATCTGGGTGCCCTTGGGACCACCACCCTTCTGCCCGACACCCGCTGCCTGGTGGACAACGTGAAGAGTCGCTTCCCACAGCTCCTCGACTGTGAGAAGGTCAAGAGCAGCCTCCACAAACGCTGGAACTTCATCCAGGTTGGTTACAGCCCTGCCAGCAGTGCTGCTTCCCACACCCTGGGCTGTGGCACATCCTCTTTGCCAAGGGAGAGTGTAGGACAAAGAGGAAATGGTCCTGTGCCACAGCAGGTGCCAGGTCATAGGGAAGAGATTAAGAGGGTTCAGGGGCAGGGACAGGTTTGTTTTAGGACAATTTCCAGAAGAAGTTTCCCTTTCTGAGACCCTCAGGTATCTGTCACCTGTCCTGCTGATGACTTCCAGAGTTCTTTGATTCTTACAGATCGTCTAGGGTGAAATACATAAAAACACAGCACTTTGGGCCCAAATGTAAATAATAAGTAAATAACTGTAAATAATTTTGTAAATGAGTAAATACTTAAAAATAATAATAAATAAATACTTAAAAAACCCCTTGTAAATAAGTGTAAATAATACACATGCTATGGAAGAGTCACATCCAGGGGTGCAGCCACACTATTTAAAGGCTACAGGGGGCCCTTGATGTCGTGTTGGGGACCCATGCTGTCAGTGATTCAATCCACACTGATTGTTTTAGGAATGATGGGATTGTTTGAGTTGCATCAATCACCCTGTTAGGTGCTGTGTTTTCCAGCAGTGCACTGTCCTTGCTCCATGGGGTTTGCTTCACGGGGTTTGCTTCACAGCCCCCTGGATTTTGTTAATGTTTTCTTCTTGTCCTTTCATTTCAGAACGGTGCCATCCTGAACAAGGGGACAGGACGGTGCCTGGAGGTGGAGAACAGGGGCATGGCTGGCATCGACCTCATTCTTCGTAGCTGCACAGGGCAGAGGTGGACAATTAAAAACTTCATCAAGTAAAGGGTGGAAGAGTCGGAGGAGTTTGACTTGAAACAGGGCTGACTTGGACTGGTCTGACTGGACTCCTTTGGAAAGGACAAAATATCAAAACAGAGCTTTATTCATGTTATTAGGAGAGGACATGGGGGAAATGGGCATTTGTGTCTTTTTATTTTTATTGTGTATTAGTCTCCCACAGCTGATTCCAACTGTGTGAAATTGGGTCAGAACTGCTATTTTCTTCTAGCAAGCACTCTAAAAGGTACCACTTATTTCTGCTGGAATGACTGTAATAAGCTCATGCAGTCTTGTGAGCATTTTACTGACAGGGAATTGTTGCTTTCCCAGATGACTCGAAGCTCTCCTGAAGGGCCAGGTAGGTTTGCACCGTGATTGGAGTTGAGAGACCCTGGATATACCTGCCTGGCAAGCCTGAAAACTGATGTGCTTGTCAGAGGAAATGGTTGACAAGCCCTGGGTTGAGCCATGTCTGAAAGATGTGGTGTTTTGCTGTGTCCACTCTCTCCTTTCCCTTTCTTGCCCCTGCATCCAGCAGCCCCTTTCTTGAGTCTGGGAGAGGCAGAGCTCACTCCCATAGCTCCCATGGATCTTTCCAACCCTTGATCATGAATGTCATCAAACAAAACCCTACTGAATAAAAACACCAGTCTCCCATTGCCCCCTCTCCATCATCCATGCACTGCTGTTGGCCAGGCCAGCTCCGTGCAGCACCAGTCCCTCCCAAGGAGACATCAGATCCCTTTGGAAAAGACCTCAGATGTCTGCTTGCCTCTTTGGGCAGTTGCCTGTCCTTCTGGGTGTCAGACTCATGCATGGTGAGTATGGCTTCTGGGATGCTCCCTGCCCCATGGGAACCTGGGGAGCTGCAGAACCACCTTGCCCTCCCGCCAGGGCTGTTGGCTTTGCATTGTCCCCTTGGAGACCCTCCTTTACCCTTTTATCTTGTGGAAGTGAGGATGGATGTGGTGGTGTGTGCAGAAGGGTAAGGGCAGGGAACGTGAGAGAAAGTCCCACTTGGGTCCTTCTCCTGTGGCAGCTGTAGGGTTTGTTTGTAAGGCATCCTTGCTCTGAACAAAGACATTAATAGTGGTAGTCTCCATAACTTGGTAGTGGTGTTCTCTCCCTGAGGCTCAGGCACGCCTGGTCTGCCCCAAACCACGTGTGACTGCAGACCTCCATGAGGTATGCTGAAGTAAGGGAGGGAGAGGGAGGGCAAGAGACCACTAAGTGGCAGTTTGGCTGAAATTGTTGATCTTGAAGTCACTTGAGGCTTGTTAATATGATGGGGTGAGCTCAACTGCTTTTTTTTTGGCCCACAGTGATGCCTGGCTACCTGAAAAAGGGAAATGTAGTCTTGCAAAGTTGCTTGACATGAATGCTAGACTAATAGGTGGAGACAGGCTTTGGTCAGTGGAGAGGAGGAGCCAGCCCATCTCCTGTCCTTCTCACAGAATAATACTCTTTCTGGTTGCCCTCTGGCTAGGGTGCACTAAAATATATTAATATATGATGTACGTGTAAATATGTTTCCCAAAGATGGGATGTGCACAGAGTTGTTTGCTGCAGAGCACTCATGCCTGTCTTCCATTTGCATCAGGATGAAGCTACCTGGATGTTTAATGAGTTTAATTTTCAATGCCACGCAGCAGGTTTGTAACTGATGTTTTAGTAATTTATTGAACAGAAGCAGATATATTTCATTGTTCCTTCTACAGCAACGAGCATCACATAGGACTGATTGTTCATTTAGGCTTGACAAAACCTCCTCATCCATTGGGGATGTCTCTGAGTTTTTTTTTCCCCTTGCTTTCCTTAATGAAATAAAACCTCTTAGTTGTCCTGAACTGCATAGTAGGGAATCAATGTAGACTTTTGCTCTCTTATTCGCTGCTGCATCATCTCTTGTGTAATAAATTTTAGCACTTACAAACCCATTCTGATGACAATGTCTTCAGATGCATGCTGTGTCTTCCCTTGCATTTGTTGCTGCCTTCCAAGAGAGGCGATTTACTGATGAAGTGATGACTCCAGGACAGTCTGGGGCATTTGAGACTTCACAGCTAATGGGCAGAATGGTAAAATGCCCTTTCATTGAGCAATCAGTTCACTGCCAGTCATCAGTGGAAGCCCTGTGTTGGTTAGTGTTGGGAAAAGCCTGCGTGGTTTAGGATAAACAACCACAAAAAGCCCTTGGATGTTGCCTGTGCTATAATTCACAGTTCCCAGTCCAGCTCTGGTCCTGCCAGTGCTCAGGATGCCGACAAATGGGCTTGGTCAGATTTAATCGTGGTGGTAAAGGTGTCACCACCCCCAGCCTTCCATCTGCTTCAGCTGCTGCAGGGTTCTGCCCCCTCCACCAGCAGCAGGAAGGATGTCTGGCTACACCTTGGCTGCTGTAATTATCAGGACATGCTCCAGCCACCAGGCAGCTCTGCTCAGGAAGCAGCAGCTCCTGGCAGGAGCAGGGTGCAGCACCCAGCACCTCCAGCTGCCTGGTGGCACTTGTGCTGCCCCTTGGAGCCAGAGCACGTGTGCTTGGGAGCTTGCCCTCAGGTCACAGGAGATGCCCTGGCAATGAGGATCCTGTTGGGGCTGGGCTCTTTGTTCCTTCAAAATATGAAGGTTCAGAGATGCCTTTTCTTCATACTCCATAAGGAAAAGAAATGCCTGAGAGCACCCAAAAGGAAGGGGATGGTGGAAATGAGCCCTTTGCTCCAGGAGCCTCAGCTGGGGCAGCAACCCTGCTGAGAGGTGGTTTGCCCGTTCTCACTGCTGTACACAGAGAGCTCCCAAACGGCTGAAATAGAAGCAACATGAGGAAAATTGGGCTAAAAAGTGAGAATTTCATCTGCTGTGTCCCTGTAACTGAAGTTCTGTTCTGACACTGGTGTGTGACATGCAGAGATGATGGCCGAGGCGATGGCCCGAGGTCTGCACCCTCCTAAACCTTAGGAATCTGTCTTAGAAATCTGGATCTGTTGCATCTTGTGCTTATCTCTAATAATATGTTAATTGCTTTAAAAAGTGGTATCGTAGTGATTCTTATTAAATATATGATTTGAGCCTTGCCTCTTGAGTGATTTTAAAAAGATTCACTGCTGATGAGATACAGAGGCAGTCATTCTTCTCTGTTACTCATTTAATAGAAAAGTGTAGCTGTTTTAATGGAACTTCCATTTTTAAAAGAAATGGAAATGAAGGAGAAATCAAGAGAGATGGCCGAGGCAGATTAACCTCCTATTTCATCCATCCCTGCTGGCTGCCACTTGCTCAGATAACGCAGCTACATTCAAGGGGCTGAGAAGAGACGTTGTGTGGTTAAAAAGCATCACTTGCAAATACATCCCTGGGCCCAGGCTGGGTGTTTCTAAATGGACCCTGGGGCTTGGGGCACCCTTTAGAGAACTTTCTCACATCCATATTCTCCTGAAAACCAGGTTGGCCAGTGATGTGAGGGATGACAAGGTATGGGCAGGGAGGTTCCTGTGCAGGAGGGAGGTGTATCTGTGGGTGCACCGTGTCCTAAAGGCACCACTGCAGTTCTGAGAGGAGCAGCAGCTCTCCCACCCGTGCTGAGGACGCAGCAAGCTGGTAGCATCAGTCCAGGTAAGTGTGGCCACCAGCCTTGGGCCTCTGGGGAGAGCTTCATCATGGAGTGTCCCATGTGCAGCCCCAGCTCTCTCGAAGGGTGACACAGGAGGAGCTGTGCTGCTGTTGTGTGCGTTTCACAGGCTCAAGACTTCCCAAGGGGTCAGGTCCAGGTTAGAAACTGGCAGAGCCTGGTGTGCCCTCCAGCAGCTGGAAGTCAGCAGTGAGCTCCTCCCCTTCTGATGCCCTTAGCAGGACCTTTGTGCTGCCCAGGGCACAGAGCCAAGCGCTCAGAAAGTTCCCTCTAAGCCCCCAGATGAAGTTAAACTGGTCTCATTTCAAAGTCAAAAGTTTAACTGGTGGAATCCCAACAGAAAAGCCTCTCAGCTTGATCCCTGAGCAGTTGGGGCACTCATCCACTGCTCACAGGGACAGATTCAAGCACTCCACAGTGTTAAGTCTGGCATTTGAAATCTCTGCAGCTCTCTTTGCAAATGAGAAACCATCTTGCCTTGGGCTGGGTTTGAGTGTATGACCATTAGGAATCTCAGCTGGATTTCTAAGAACATTGGGATGAACTGTCAAGGGCCCTTCCCTGTTATTGCTGAACCAAAGTGGTCTGTAGAACATCAGGAAAACTTCAGGGACGTAAGCCCTGCCAGCCCCACCAGTCTGGTGCTGGAAAGGTGAGGGCCTGAGCTCTTCTGCATCTTTCCTGAAAGGCATCTTGTAGGTGGGCTGGTCCTGTGTGTTGGGAGGAGGGGGTTCCTGGAATCACCATTCTTCTAAACCAAAAAATTCCCCAGACTTATTAATGGATATAAATCTTCCTTCCAGCCAGTGAAGCTGCTCAGCTTGATGACATTTTCAGCTGAGGTGGCACTGGTGGGACTGGGATCTCAGCTCTGCTTTTTGCTTAGAAGCCAAGTGGCAGCATCCTTCTAGCAGCACATTCAAGTAAAATAACAGCAGAAATCCCAGTTCAATGGTCTCCAGTTATTCAAGATATCTTTATATCTCCAAATATTCAAGATATTTGTCAAGAGCCAACGGGTCAAGTGTGACATCCCGAGAGGATTACTGTGATAAATACGATGTCTCAGCTGGGTGCTCCTCATCCTGGGGAGGTCTCACCTAGGGGCTGAGGAAGGAATTTCTAGCAGAAAAAAAGAAGGGTCAGTTCCTATTGACAGGACTATGAAGTTTGGGTTACTCATGCCAGCCCCAGCTGAGCATTTGGCCCAAGTGCTTCGGATCTCCCTTGGAGCTGAGATACCTGCACGCTGGTTGTGCCCAGGGCAGGGATGTTTATTGGGAAAATAATAAAGCAGGCTGTAGCTGCAGGCTCTCCTAAACTGCAAAGTATATATTTTGAAGGCGTGCAGGAATTGCTACCTAGAACAGCCACCCTGATCCTCTGTGTCAGTGTTGTTCCTCTGACAGAAGGCAAAATAACAAGAAGGAAGATTGTATAACCCGGAGAGCTTTCCAGAGGAGGAGTTTCTTATTTTATTCCCATCTGGTGGCTCTGAGATGTGATGGGTAATAGCTCTCCAAATGGCTTTCCTGGCTATTGTAATTCTAGGTTTTATTGTTATAGGCAAGTATTTCATAGTTAGGCAAGAACCCGTGCAGGAACTAATTTCTTATTGTGCTCTTCAGAAATCACAGCCAGGAGGGAAATAACAGGAGAGTGGGGACAAGGTGATTTGCTGTGCGGAGATGCAGAATTGGACCCAGCACGAAACTGGTATCAGCTTCTGGTGCTTTGAGAGCACAACAGCCACCACC